ACATCTTTTATGTTAAAACCTGGAAATGGGCTATTATTTACACAAGAGTGAAGGTATGAAATCTTTAGGGATTTGTGAAGAGGAACACAGATCATCCACTTTTGTTAATAAAGAGTTTGAAAATGATGAAGTCGACCAGACAGATTATGGTAAATTGAATATTTGTGATAATGATTATGATAGTGCAGATTTGTCTTTGGTTGATCATGATGAAATGAGGGGAATGCCTACTACTGCTAAGTTAAATAAACCTTCTGTACAACGACAACGTGAAGTAGAATTGAACGCAGATGCAGTTCCAGAAGGTGTGCATACTTGTGAGACAGTCAGTGTAATTGACCAGCGTGTAGCCCACCTATCATCAGATGGTAGTGCTAAACCCGAAGTAGTAGTGAAAGGCAGCAGTGGTTGTCAATCACTTCTCATAAACCGTTAATGCCCAGCTCTCGCTACGCTCGGGCCCTTGCTGTTCCTTGAAGATTTCAGAAACGCTTAGTTATAACGGACGAAAAAACCAAAACACCGATTGGCCGCTTGAGATTTCTTTATTGTTACACCAACATATAAAAAGAATAAGTGAACTAAGGTCTGAAAACGAATATTACAATAATAAATCATTGTATTACTTCTGACGATGTTTCACTCTTCTTTCTGAACAGCGACCGATGAGACGATGACTGTCGTATTGATGCCTCCGCGAAAATTGGGGAAGTTGGTTTTAAGCAAAAAACCAAGAATTGATCGTTCAATCTTCAACTACATTGACAGTGGTTGTAATCTTGCAGTTGGACAACTATCTGAAAGCCGAAAATGAACAGCTTCTGATCCACCGCTAAGTTCATCACCTTGTGTCACTCAGTCATCGTTGGTGTTGTCATCCACAATGAAACAGACGCCCATCAACTCACGTGCCTTATGCAATGACTATGATAGTATTGGTGCGTTTGAAAAGACGAAAGATATTGCTTCGTTTAATGAGGATAAGCCAAGTGTGTATGAGAGGGTAATTGTTAAATTGACTTGCACGAATAAAGGCATTTCAAGTTTCAAGTTACTATTTGAATGTTATTATCTTCGGTGTAAATTACTCTGTGCCGACGCTTGGTTGACCAGATACGTCGTGTGTTTGTTCGTCATCTATATTCTACGATACAATGACATGAGCGTGTTACCGTTCAGATTTGAGGATATAGCTGATAGCGGGAAGTCAGTAAATGAACTCTGCGACGATTTTCCAACCTAGAGCGTCAACCTGAGAAGGGTTGTAGGCGTACTGCTGTAAGTCCTACAGTTCTTCAAAGGGTAGCGCATCAATGAGCAGTCCAATGTGATTGGTGTGTGATTTTGTACATATGTTCATATTGTATATACTGAAGTGATATCATCTTTCATCTATCTGTTGGTAATTCTGTTTATGTCCGGACGACTTCCACTTGGATCATCAACCTGAGAAGGAATGTAGGCGTACTGCTGTAAGTCCTACAGTTCTTCAAGGGTAGTGTGTCGTGCCAGAATACACAACATTTGATGTGTTGGTTGTACATATGTTTGTGTTAAATAATTGTGTGAGTTCCAATTATCGTAATTGTTGGTTAATCTTGTTTGTGTCCGGACATTCCACAACTTACAATCGTCAACGTGAGAAGGGTTGTAAGCGTACTGGTTTAAGTCCTGCGATTCTTCAAAGGAATTCCATCAAGACATGATCCGCGAGTTTTTGTGGACAGTTTGTATATACGTGTGGTGTGTCATAGCAATTGGTGTTTTTTGGATTCATTGTGTTTACTTGTTGTTTTCGTATCTTCTTGTTATTGCATGATTTTTTATAATTTTCGTCGTGATTACTTCTGAAGTTGTTTCTGGTCTTCTACATCCATGAATAAATTGATTGATGTTAGAGACAGCAGATGGGTCGTATACGCCGAGGAGGCTATTGCTGAGAATGATATGCACACGGAGATAATGATTAGCTGCGGTCCCACACGCCGGGAAGAGAGAGTGTAAACGACTGAGACTCGCATACGTCACCGGTACTAGAACTGAGGCAGAATGAGTGACAAGCGATTGCAGGGGTGATTGGTGTTGAGTAGATAAGAGGATGTGCGTAGAGTATCGTGAGGTGGTGCTATGGTCACGTTGCATTCTGAAAGAGTCATTCTAGCAAGTGGCGTTTGTGTGGCAAGATTTCAAGGGGATTCCATATTCTAGAAATCGTAAAAATCTCACGGCAATTTTTCACTTGTATTATTATCATTGCCTTAGCGGTTATTATTATTATTTCCATTCTACATACTGAATTTTTCTGACATTCCCCGTATTGTAAATGTGGAAGTTTTTCTATGTGACTAATTTTATTTATAATTTGAGGATATTAGATGCAATATTGTGATTAATGCTGAAAATTCCATTATGTATCAGAAGTACTGTTTTCGGAATAAAGTAAACTATTATTATTACATTTGCCGACCCACGACCTGAAAATTTGCAGCCTTATCGATAAACATTCTTCGTCACAATGTCTTTGGGAAAAATCCCTTTACCACTGATACTGGCTCATATCAGTCCATTCGGTTCTCTATCAGGGTTTTGAAAACCGTTCGAGTTCACTTGATCGACTAAGTTCACCATGAATTCCATTAACACTACACACACAAAAATGATATACCTACTTTTAATTCACATGAGACCAAGAACTTAAATTATTTGAAATATAGAGTGGTGGGTTATCCCGAGGGATGGAAATTCAGAGAAGAAATCTAGAAAAGTTTTGGGACGACTGACTGATAGTCAAGTGATAAAATCTGCTTTTACATACAATATACTTATGTGACCTTTCAAAATTAGACCGTCTCACTGTATTACGGATTGGACTGAATTTTTGTGATAATTTTTAACACGCTTTTCCTTAGATGCGGGCGCAAATGTGATTTTTCCTTTGGTTTTAGTGTTCCGACGCAGAATTCGGATCCAGGATCGTTTTGACGATAACCTACCACCTGATGCAATCTGTTTCTAGTTTCCGAAATGAGCCCTATTGTTAGTTGTTATGTCTTGGGGTTTTTCCGTATCATTTAACCACAATCTGTTGTCACGAATCACTTACCATTTACCACTCTTTCTCAGCCTCCCTTGTCGTAAACGTCCTCAGGTATGTTCTTTAGAAGGACTCTGAGGTCATTCAGAAATGAATTGTTGACAGGTGAGGCGATGGGCAAATGTACACATTCCAGGGATGTAAAATATGTCATTTTTACTTTTACTATCATGTATGAGAGAAACACATGTCTCGACTATGCTACTGCGGGGTTTTCAGATTTGAGTATCCAGTAAATAATTGAATTTTCTCCATAAAAACTATTATCTCCAAACACAACTTAAAGAATATGCACTTCACCAGCCCTAATACTTAAATTAACGGGGTTCAGTTATTTATCCCCCTGGAGTGCATTTTGCCTAACATTTCTTTTCTGTTCTTTCAAGTAGTAGGGCTTTTTCGATCTAACATTTTCCTGTAAACTTTGCTTTTAATGACACCTCTTCTGAGAATTTTGTAAATGATTTTTGCTCGATTAACAGTTTCCTGCTGCATGTTCAATTTTCTTAAGGTTGCAGAGTAAAGCCATGGCTATTGTTAATGATTTATGATCTACTCGAAGACTTGAACCTTAGATTAACAACAATAGACAGAATTACATAATTTTGCGGGCTTTTCTGTTGATCCATAGGCACCTGTTGGTTTCACTGAGCTGTGCAGTGCTCTGTTTTCGAAAGTGTTTTGATCTCCAGGTGGTCAAACGACACTAATACCCATGTCGTAAAATAACTGTCATCTTGGTTTGGCGAAGGTCCGAATAAAGCTACACGCAGCTCAGTATTAGTTCATCTCGTCGATCCTGGACATCAAGTCGACTTGAACTAAGCTTTGAAAGTTATTTATCGTATGTCAACCAACCTTTCACGTGGTCTAAGCATACAGCTTTTACATACAACAGAGGCAATCAGCGTTCATCTGGGCAAGCTAAATCTGTCACAACCACTTTCTTAACCATGAATAACCACACAATGCGTATTACGTTTTTGAAAACGATGCTTCTCCTCCCCTTGTAACTGTCTTTCGATTTCGTTATTTTTACAATTCTAGCTAGTCCTATCAACGTTTTTGTATTTTACGTGATCATTCTTAGTCATCACTATTTTACAAATTTCTTGATTATGTAATAACTCGTTATTTACTACTAACGAAGGGTTTTCAGCAATCCCTTCACCAAATAACCACCTCCACTGATCTAAATATAGTGGAGAAAGTCCCCATTGGCTGATTCAACCTAGATTCCATGTTAGCTACTGAACATACTATCAATATAGGAGTTTTTGAGTGCGAACTGCATCCTACATTTCCACTTCATGAGCAACCACTGACAGATATTTCACAGCTTATGTTATAGAAGGATATTTTGCGATTCCAGTTTGGTTTGTATCCAGAATTGCTTCAGTTATTATCTCTAAATTTTTTTGCATAGCCCCCGAACCAGTAACTTACGCAGAAACATAGCATTTATAACATTGTCTGAGGGTGTGAAATGTATTAAATTGTCAGACGTTCGTGAGAATTATCCTTGTTTCTTAACTTCCTACCTGTGGTTATCAGCTTCAGAGGATTGACAATTTTGAAAAGCATGAAACTGATTCACGTAAACAATGTCCAACGATTATTTCGCTACTCATCCCCAAGCTTCTGCGTGATAAACTACTACTTTAGGAACAAACAACAGAGCTTCAGTTGTGAGGAATCTTTCCTTTACATCTAAGCCTGATTGAAAGGAAAAAATTGAACATAGAAGGGTGAAGCTTTTGTTTAACTGCTTCCTGACCTCTTGGTGTGTCTTTCGGGGGAAAACGTCCTTGATGTGCTGATTGAACTGTGTACTAACATACTGTGGTTGTATAAGATTGTTCGAATGTTGTTTGTAAATGAATTAATAAACTATTGTTTGTTAATAATGGGTTTCAACTTTGCATCTGGTATTGATTATGTGCAGCAGACGATGTATCGAACTGTAGTTCTTCGCTGTGAGTGCGGTTTTTCGAAAGCAATGTGGACTTTAAATTCGTCTTCAATATCTAACAAGTAAGTGTGAATTTAAAGCTTCTAGCTTTTAAGGCATGGGAAAATTTTGATTTCGGGAGACACACTCAAAATATTTGACCTCAGACGTGGGGACGCTGGTATATATACGTGTTATGATGCCTTCTATGAATCTGAAGCATGCGTTTCGATTAGTCTGGTTGTAAATGGTAATTAAAGAGTCGACGTTTGTATTTTTACAGATCCTGAGCCTTATTATAAAGCGGTTCACGAAAATTCTGTTCCTGATTCAGAAGAAAATGAACGAGGTATTTACATTTGTTCCCACATATTCTTGATTTTAATAGACAGACCTTACTGGCATCCCAAGATGAAAAATACACCTGCATTCTATGAGTTTGTTAAAGAACCGCTAAGGCTGGCGTGCTTTTTCTACTTCATGAATAAATCTATTGTCCCTGTTGCAGAGTGGGGACTTCCTCGTGATCATGATGAGCTAAACGTGAAAGATTCATTGAAAAAGGTATTTGATTGATTTTAAAAAGTACACTCAAAATATTTGTCCAGCCTAATTATCCGTTCTGATAATATGTTACTCTATGAACCGCGTTACAATTTTGCTGCTATATCTTTACAAACGTAAAGTAGCCTATTTTAATGTTTTGTTCTTATATGAGTCATTTTACTTTTGCTGTTATGCCATATAGTTTTGTACTGGTAGTTGTATAGATTAGTGGACCTTGTTTTCGGACAAAGGAAGTCTGCATAAGCAACCTATCTCCGGTGGTATGTGATGTTTTAACTCTGTGTATCCATCCGTTGACTGAAGATGTTGTTTCAGTCATCACTCATGAGGATGGCATTTATAACCATCGCAAAGTAAATCTTTACTGGAAATGTCTTTTTATAGGTTATGATATTTATTGCTAGGTTTTTCCGATGTTTGTTCGTTTTTATTGTCATATGAAGAGTCCGACGGTAGTTATGTATCATTTTCCCTGCTTTTCTGGAGTGTAGCAACGTGGACTCTTGTGCAGAGTTTTGCAATTACCCGTATTTTCCCAGCCTGCGTTAACTTTTCAAGTTGTCAGACTTAAAGTAATAATCGCTTATCGAAGATAATAAGTGCCTTGTTTCTGTAGGTCTAAGTATTTCTGGTGGAATTGCCTGTTGGATATTACATTACAACAAACATTAATACACATACTTTCGGTGGTTGGTGTATCGCATACTTGGATCGAGCTACTCTTACGATAAAATGTTTTAAACGCCTAACAACATCAGGACGAGAAGTTGAAGACCAGACAAGTGTCATCATGGCGTCATTGCATATTGGTATTTGATACGTTTAATTAAGTGTCGATGGGTAAAATCCTGTCAGTAGTCACAAAGTATTGTATAGTTTATTGTATATAGATGTGGGGTTTTCGGAACAGACTACTTCTGTACCTGATGTCAAGATGACACCATATATTTTTGGAACAAATGATTAGCGTTGTGATCATAGCCCACTAGGAACACAAACATAAGTTATACACATTTGTCTCTTGAAGAAAATATTAGCTACGTATGATTTATTTTGAACTACTTCGTAAATGGATTCTTCCTTTTTTACCTAGCCTAAGCCGAATTTGTTGATTAAAACTGTTTGACTAACCCAACCACTATTCATGAAAGTGGGTTGTGTTAGTTTAGCCAGTCTAAGATAAAAGACTCCAGCAGTTTGGAAAAGTTATCTTACACTAAATAGAATTCACTTTGTCTGCTTTTTCATTTTAGCCCAGAACTATAGATTGCAATTCTATTGAGGAAACGCAACGCAACCTATCGGGCATCTGCTATGTAATGGAAATAACAATTCACTCAATCAGTGGAACAGATACATTCGATTGCATTGTTCGAACGCCAAATAATAGAAACGTAGCCATTAGTAACTCATACACAGTACTCCAAAAATTGACACACCTATTCGCATTTGATTTAAGGTGAGATTTCATTTAAATGTTAGTTGCAAATGATAACTTTCTGAAGTAAATCTATACTAAACTGTGATCCTAAAAAGTAGACTTACATTTTTGACTTAAGTCGTGTAACCAATACAAGTGAACCTGTATCAGAATAATAGAATGGACTCTGATTCTAGGAACGTAAAGGGTTTCCCAAACTTTCAGTTTTAATGTGGCCCTGTTTACTAATGTTACGTACATCTTTTAAAGGAGTATTGACTTTGTAGGAAAATATGAAAGACTTACTCTTTCTATTTGCAGTTGTTAAAATGTAGTGTAGGCTATTAAAACCGGAAAAAGTATTTCTAATATGTACGGGTAACGTGTTTTGTCTTAAAATACATTGTTAAACTGAAATAACCCCAATTTATCGATAGAATAAAACTGTATTTTGAGAATTGCATTTTATATCAGTAAGAACACAATCAAATTGTATTTGGAATTTATAGGTACTTTGCATTCTGAGCTGTTCTCTAGCTTGCTATAAGATCACCATGAGTTTTACCTCTCGAAAGTGGATTATGTTAAAAATTCTGGCGGTATTTCTGATCATTGAATATAAAAATAAATTTGTCTCTAATTTTGAAAGTTTCAGAACTTTTTCAATGCTTTACTGAATAGGTCCTAGTAAGATCACTTTCATTTTTGAAGATTGTTAATTTATTTGTACCTTACACTTAATATAGGCTTTTGTGATTCAGATGTCAAAAAGAATTTCAACTTTGATGTGTTCCGCGTCTCCTATCATTTTGAAAAGTGTAGTACGGAGTTCTGACTGACTAGTTTCAACGTAGAACTTTACACCGATGTGCAGCAGCTCGGGTCACCACGCTTCATGTAGTAAACAAAGCAAGAGAAGGAAGTAAAAAGAAATGTAAAGTAGAGACAATAAATAGCGATATGAGGCAAAAAGAATAGTAGTAGTATGGACTTCACGCATTTTTGTCCAAATATCAGTCGAATAAGTTATCGGAAATAGTCCCGTCATGAAAATAATTTAGTGGCAAGTTTTTGATTTCGTGGTGGACGATATGGTTCCATCTTGGGAGGGTGAAAGAACATGAGTTTCCTTGTGGTTTTTCTATAGTTTCGTTTGTAAGGGTTAGCTATGTTTTTAACGAGTTGTAGATGTGCATACATGTTTTAGTAAGCACGTAATTTAGTTGTAGTGTACCTTGGAAATTGACTCGTAATACCGAATCGCACTGCGATTTAAAGTCATACTGCTTTCAGTGGTCACACTACACACGTGGTAAATTTCAGTCAATAGGCAGACCTTAGTAGTTGAGTTCTGAACTGTGAAGTGACTGACACATAAGGATGTATACTGCTTCCAGCAAAAGGTATAAAAATTAACTTTGCTTGGTCAGTATAATAATGATAAAATCGTAAGACTAAGAGTTTTTAAACTGGAATCCTAACAACGTATTTTTGAGAGTCTCCTTAAAATCGTCCAACTCGAAATTGTTTGCGAAAAGGCTGATTTCTTTCATCATCAAAAGACCATGTCATTAACACTGTTTTCATAATGGTCATTGCCTAGAATCAATCCGTTTCTCAGAATTTGTGCATATCTGCTTGTTACTGTCTGCTGAAGTATTTGATTTTTTTTTCAAATTTTTCGCTCCTAGTGATACAGACTTTGATGACTTTGAGCCACCGAAATTTGAATTGATTGATGAATTGCGTTTACCAAGTGGAACAAATTCAAGTAGTGTAGACTATGAAGACTCATATTCAGACATGTCTATGGGAGAAAGCTCAGTAAATCTAAGACAACACTTGAATTTATCAGCGCTTATTCTGTCTACTTATGATGAGTTCTCTTTTTATCCACTAAAAAGAATAGCTTGCTTGTCAGAGGAAGTTACTTTAGTCTGTGAAATCCCAAAATCTACAAGTCAGCTGGAAATCTGGTATTTTGGCAAATTGGGTGAACAGTCGAAACTCCTAAAAGTAATTACTTTCTTTGTTTTATGTTCTACCATTTCTATTTTTCACATTTCGTTGTTAACGTCTGTATCTGATATGATAAGTTTATCAACCTCATGCTAACACATAGCATTAAGACTCAATTGTCTGTTATCGACTCACGTGGATCAATTTGAAGTGAGCACAATGCTTAGAGAAACACCTCACATAATTTAAAGTTTACCATTCCCATCATATATATATATATATATATATATATATATATATATATGGAGAGAAAGTAGCACAATTCAGGACGCAGCGTTTTTAATGTAAAATACGAGTAAGAAATTAAAATAAGTAAAAAATCAATGTTTATAATATACGATTCCTTGAATGGGGTTATTTATTCAAAATACTATGTATATTTGAGGACGACAAAATTATATGGACATCTTCCAATAGACAAGTAATGAAAAAGTGTAGACTACATTTATTCTGAGTTAATTTCCTAGAATTGATGTTTGATTATAATCCTTAGTGTATTATCACGGATGGTAAATTTCCTGATAATATGCAATCTAAAATGAAATTCTTTATAGTAACATCAACTCGGGGAACGAACTGAATTTGTGCACCACCATCAGCCTAGCGGGTAATTAAAAGCTCTAAACACTGTAGCCTTCAAATATGTTTTGTCGTATCCGGAATGTATCATAACTATGGTTCAAATCCTTCATCAGTTGGTGATATAGGTTAGCGTCGTTTCAAAAATTAGTTTTTAGGCATTTATTTCAGTTGACAGAGGTTAGAATTCATGAACCAATGGATTCTCTCCTATTGGCTGAATAGTCGACGAGCCGGCCTTGTAATTTGGAATGTCCTGAGTTCGACTGTGGATGCCGACTGACGAAGAGTCTCGAGCTAGGGCGAAACAGCTGTCTGGTTCTCCTCAGTTTTCAATAGTTCCTTGACTAATATCAACCCATGATACCAAAGCTGAAAAGAATTTATTTGCAGGAATTACGGATTATAACTGAGTCGATCCACTTTATCTCTTAAATTTGAAAGGATAACAACTAAGAGGAATTTTCTTCACCTCGGATAGACTTGAAGAAAACTTTCACCCTGGTTCCACTCTAATTTCTCTAGTTATCACTACGCAGTTGATGTGTGATGAGATTTCTATGAATGTCATATCATTTTATAATAATACACACTGCCAGTATTGCTCGAAACTTTTGATGTTTTCTTCTCTGGGCAATCATCATTCTAAGTTGCAGTATTTGTTGTTATTATAATCCAGTCAGGAAGAATGCCTCACAATTGTTGGTTTTAGGTAAATTGATCGCATCATTATTAGGCTAATAATGTTAAAATTTAAGTATATTTTGTATTTCTTTACGTTCCCAGTGGGGGGGGGGGACAGTGAGCTTCAAGCAAGAGCTGTGAAGTTTCAGTAACAGTGGTGTTTTTCTTGTACGAGATGGGGTTGCTAGCTTCATGCTCGATTTTCTCTCTACCAGGCTTGCTACCGGCTAAGCTAGGTTAAGGAGTTCGTCGGTCGGGGATCGAACCCCCCGGACCGATTATTTAGGTTAACCAGTATATTCTACCACTGCTGCGACCATCGACGCACCTATAAAAATTCATGTAAATATATTAAACTTAAAAAGAAATCTTCTGAATCTACATTTGTCTACATTATATTATCTTATACAGTAAATGTCTTTTATTTGTATTTTTTTTATTTATATCCACTAAAATAAGTATTCAAAAGTTTCTGATATGTTCAACAATAACGACAAGAGATATGTACAATTTGATAACAGTATTACACTGAAAATAACAAACTTATCTTTATTGAATAGTGGAATGTACGTATGCAAAAATGCTTTTCTTTATAAAAATATCAGTATAACAGTTATGGATTGTTCAAAATTAGGTGAGTACAATTTTCCATGCAATTTATTTATTTATTTTACAAGTGGTTCATATTTTTTATTCTTAGGTATTTCACCCCTTTTTCAATCTGTACATATATGCATGTTATAGTTTATTAAAATACATGAGTATAACTTTACATTGAATTAAAATAGTGTTTGCTAATTTATGGTTGGCCTGCCTACTAATTAATTCCCTTTGGCCATGCTATGTGAGAAGTAAGGTATATATATATATTGTAAAATTCAGTGTGAACAGTCAAAGACTTAGACTTTAAAACATAAAGTGCCATTGTCTGTGAATGTATTGGTAAGTGTGAGAGGGTTTTTATGGCAGCGAAATATACAGTTGAAATAACATAAGTGAATTGGGAAAACATTACGATAGCGCAAACACCTAAAATTCCTCGGGTCGGGTCTCAAATATTAAATATATGTGGTAATTTCAAATGTTATTTTGTAATGGAGACGACACAAATTCATATAGTTATTCAGTTCACCCTCTTATCACTACTAATATTACGTAATATAAAGTAATCTGTTTGTTTCGCATGTGGTGTTAGAAATCCCTGATCCCCCTCTTGCACGCTTTTACCACTTCACACGCAATATCGGTAGCTACATACACATCAAAAGGATAGTGAGAAGCGTTTGGAAAGAAACGATGGGCACTGAGTTCAAACCTCAGTGGGGGGAACACTACACTCACTTGGGAATGCAGGTACATCCAGGTGACGAGTCCGAAGTGAGACAAAGTGCGAACCCTAGATTCCACTGCTAGTCATCATCATTAAAATTGTGTGGAAAGAAGCTTAGAATATAAGTAAAGCAACTTCTTGGAATACGCCATAGGTGATCACATTCCATATACGGACGAGTAAATACACCGATCTGTAGCCCAAAGCTGTAACCACTCAAAGAAGCAATGATGTTTAGAAAACAATGACAGCGAGTCGATTTACCTTCACTTAGTGTGTACAAAAAAGGAAACAGTTTAGTAATGTTACCTTAGTATTTTAGTTATACAGGATTTCATCATGAACTGACATAGGTTAGAAAAAAACCTTGAAAAACCTGGGAGTACCGGACAGAAGCTGTTTCATCCTATTCTAGGACTCTTCATCAACCGAGTACTAAATTGGTGAGATCATTTCATCGCTGTTTAACCCAGCTATTACTTCAAATGTTGTTTTAGTATGACTAATTTTGTTTCTCTTATCTGCAATGTACAAAATAATTACTTCAGCAAACAGTTAAAACCATGACGAATAGATGAATCTCCGAAAAACGGATGTATCAAATCCTATCATCACATCGCGTTAACACAGTTAATAGCGGACATAGCGTATCCCAATTTTGAATAGAATATTATCATAGCCTCTAATCAATCTATCAGCAAAATACTTAAAATACATTGAATTTCTGTATGATCTCTTTGAATATTTTGGCATTGTGGAGCTGAAAAAAATAAGGTCACAAACATGATCAGACATGTATGGTTCTGAATTCAGGTTCTTTTTTTTTAAAAGATCACCTAAATGAGTTAAAAGGTCAGTCCCCACTCGCCTAATTGTAATCCCTCAACTCTAGTGATCATACCTACAGTACTACGGGTCCAATAAGTGTCTGTTTAACGCTCCTTTCAGTGCAGTTTATTTATAGCTTATTGAGGATGTGTCCAATTTGTGTTTAGACCTATTCGTCTGGATGCGGGGGCGTTTGCATAAGTATACCATCAACCCGTTCCTTGTGTGTGTTCACCTACATCCTTAGTTCAGAATTGTGGGATTGTCTGTTCAAACAGGTTATACGCATACTTCATAGAGGGTGCATAGGCTTTATATTCTACATTGGAAATATTTTCATAGTGTCCACATCATATGACAATGGTAACGACTCTTGGTCCAGAAAGTAAGTCGTTGTAGGAAGAATAATCACATACCTATGGTTTATTTTGTCCAACCTGTGTTAAGTAGAATGGAGTAGATGAGTTTATTATCATCACTTAAAAGTGCACTAGATCATGCTGAGACGTGCTCTTTATCATAGATTGATAGATCTAATAAACTGAATAACTAGAATGAGTTTAATGGTGTGACCATTGTTTAGTCTAAATGCATTTATATTCATATTCATGAGAAAATGTGTATGCATACAATATGTGATATGTGAAAGAAAGATAACTTTATACTTAAGCGTTGTGTACAAATGTATAAAGTTGTAATTCAATTTCTCCCACAAGACATTGTCATACCCTACGCATACTTACTTTATCATGACAAGTTTAAAATTCTGAAGTACGTCAAGATTCTTTGTATTAGTGAAATTTCAGCACATGTGAGTCAGCCTTTACATTACCTGAGGGCCAAATGACACTACTTATCTGCCTGAACTTTAGTAGTAAAGCTTCATTTTTTAGGCCGACTTATCAAGTTGAACTTTACTCGTGTGTTGATTGCTGCGATAAACAGTTCGGAACACATTTACTGAGTAGCCTAGTTAAAAATTGAGGATATCCTAATGACGTTGGACTGTTATGTCGTTTTTTTTAAGGTTCAGATTTACTGGGTGTAATCTATGGAATAATCCAATCGAATGTCGTTAGTTAATAAAAGGACTAAGATTTTAAAATTCACTTTAGGGGAGCTAACTGACAGTTTATATCAGGTGGTGAAATCTGTAACTGAAATTCAACAGTGAGCCTGTGAGCGTGTCACAGATTTTCTTACCTCACATCTTAATTTATTAATACAGTTAAAAAACACTTAGTAGTCGAAATGTTGGCGTCAGGTGATTTCAGAACACATCAATATTGCAGATATCATGCGTGTTTGGTGGATTTTCTCCAGCACTGCAGTAGTAGTAGTAGTTAACTCACCAGAATAGTGGAAGCAAACGGTTTTTTACGCTATTCAGTTGAACACGAAATGTAACTTATCTTAATTGAGATTGCATTGAGATTCTGTGGTACATCCAATCAAGTTGGTTGACTGAACCAGATTACCGCATAGCATTAATCTTACAAAGATTGCTTAGGTAAGCATTCTTAAAAATACTGCATAGATGTCATCATAGTGAAATGATTGTTTAGTAGTAGTATTTGTCGAATTGTCTATCACTTTCCAAGCAAAATATTGAATTAAGGTCTGACTGACTACTTGCAAGTAGTTAAATTATGTAAAATGTAGAAAATGATTTAGACTGAGGTTATTCACGTTGACCAAGTAATTCCATTGTATCGAGGCCAGTTATCCATGTTTTTCCGTCCTTATTATTCCCTTGGGTTCTTAAGGGAACATGGAACAGCAGTATCGCTCTGTTATCTGAAGTTCTCTCTAGCTGGCTCCATGACTGACAATAAGCTCTCATCTAACACGATCTCTCCTCCATGTCACCCTCGTGTCCCCAAGCTGAGCGTTTGTCATTCGTCAGGCGGGAGATTTCACTCAACGGTCTCCTCAGAGTATGTCCAATCCATCTCTACTTGCTTCTTCAGATTTGTTGGGTGATTCATTCTTGCTTTTTTCATTACCAGAGCTCCTTATTACTTAAGCTTTCTGGCCTGCCATCTGATCTTCGGTGTTTGGGCAGTCTAGGCAGCTGTTGATGAAAGTCTGAAGCATGATGGGAACGCTTTTAGTGTGTACCATGTGTATGTAACATATAGAGAAAATAGCTTAACATGAGTGTTGAAAATCTTGATCTTGTCCCGTGTTCTGAATGCAGCAGATTTCTACCCTGATATTGAGAGCAATGAACTCCTGCTTTGCTTTTCTGATTCTGAGTGGCTTTAACATCCTCATCTTTGTTGCACGTCGTTAAAATGATCAATTCCGAATATTACTACATTTATATGACCATTTTTATTTGGAAACGAATAAGCCCTAAAAGTAACTTATTGTAAGATAGCTATACTTGATTATACTCTGAAAGAATTATTGATAATTACTGGAAGATCATTATTGATACAAACTGATACTTATAGTCATTGTCTGAATAAATAATTGCATAACAAAATATAAATTAATACTGATAGTGAGTTCGGTAGTAGTGGCAATTAATGCTTTACTTCGATTTAGTTCTTTTAAAGGCGTACTATTAAGAATCTAACAACAAGAGCAGACACTATGAAAATGGAACTAGGAGGGAGAGACAGAGAGACAGGGGAAGGAACAGCTGACAATATAAAGTACAGAGAATATTTACTTATTCATAGTTTTCCTATTATGTCAGTGTAGGCACAGTTAACAGACCCTGTATTTCCACACAGCCTTTAGACTGTCAATCAGGGCACTTAGCGTGTTATACGGTTTCCCTTGGGTGCCTTCATTGTACCTCAAGGCTGACTATATACGTCTCAGCCTAATACTTTTCAACTGTAGTAGAAACCTACAATAGTGTTCTTTGTGTATACACATATTGCCGGTAACATTTAACCAAACTACTGAAAATTACTTCACATTAATGTTAGTTATGAAATATACTGCAACATACATACACACACATTAGGAAAGCATATTTCTCTAGCTTTCTGAATTAAATTTCATTTTACTAATGTTTAAAGCTGATTGGTATGAGAAACTTTTGAGGTGCTGAGGTTATCTCATATATACTGTCCAACGTTGTATATGTATGTCTGTCTGTTTTCGACATAGAACTTTGCACATATGTGCGGCAGTTGAAGTCGCCACACTCTTTGTAGCACACAAAGCAAGAGAAGAAGGTAGAAGAAATGCATAATAGAGACAGTGAACAGAGATGTGAGACAAAAGGAATAGTAATAACGAAGAACAATATAGTTTCATTGGAAATCATAGGTCACAAGGAGTGAATGCATCTGCACTAGCCATTGAGAACGATTTTGAGCCATATCACCATTTGTTGTCATCCATTGGTTTTTATCGTCTCGAGGACCCCAACCAGTCAGGAAGTCTACATCTTCCTACGTGACTTAAACTAACTGTTGTAGATTTCATTAACTGGTGCCATGTTTTGGTTAGACTGCCGCTAGCTCTTTTCCAGCCTGACCTTATATCACCTAACACTGCCTATCGGTCGAGGAAGGTGATGACTAGGCATACGTAACACATGTCCTAACCATCTTAGTCGATGTAATTTTACATCCTCGTCTATTGATTTCCCCTGCTTACCTAGAACTCGACCGCAGTCTAACCTCAATACTGCTCACCTTATTATACCACTTCACACGGGAGATAGAGCGTAGGCACCTATGTATACATATATATATATATATATATATATATGCTTGTTGAAGTACATTTATTTAAAAACGAATTTCAATGCGATATAACATCAGTGAAAGGTATTCTTTTCATGATAGTTTAGAGATCCATAGTTAATGTTATAGCTTATTTCATCCCTCCCTGGTAATTAGCGTTTTCAGACAATTTCAGATGTTAAGCGGTTAACAAATCAGATAAATAGTTTCTCTGTTATTTTCTTCAATATTTTGTTCTTTTAGTCAACTACAATTATTATTCAGTCTTTTTACCTGATTTCTTTTATTCTTATAACAGACTTTATATACAAATTTCTGCCTCCTATACTAATTTGGGTGATTCTGTTTGTTACTGTCTCAACTATCCCCTTGTCTATGATATTTTGTCTACGTGCTAAGCGTAGGTCAAAGCGAACAATTGTCTCTTTACCAATTGACTTCAAGGATAAACATGTAAAGCCAAAACGTGTTAATGTTACGCATAGAATTAATATACTGTACGGTGATCCATCACAAAGTCAATCACTTCTATTTCCTTCATCCTCATCGTCGTCGTCGTCGTCCACATCACCATTCGATTCATCTCCATTATCCACTACTACTTTCACTGATCCTAATACTAGTGCTAGTACTACTACTACTACAACTGCCAGCAACACGACTTTAGACAATTGGATTATGGAGACGTTAACATTATTGTCACAGAAATTACTTCATCAACAAATGAAGTATTTATCGCATGAACAAAATATTATTTGTCACTTTCATATCTTATTAATGAATTGGTTACGTCACTATTTATCTTCTAATCCTAATGCATTTACACCAAGATCGTCATTCATTCTTGAAGAAGATATTATTGTTGGTGAAGGTACTTATGGAATTGTATATAAAGGAAAGTTACGTAATCCAAATCATGGGAATAACTGCACAACTGCTGTCTCACACATTGATATTGCTATAAAAACACTAAAAAGTAAGTTTTTGTACTTTTCAGTTGAAATTGTTTGTGTTATTGTGATAGGTTATTTTTTTCTACCTTACGTCGTAAACGAACTCGAATTATTCAGGTTGTACAGTTTTGATAAGCATAACATAAACAGTAATATCCACCCTGTAAATGGATATTGAACAAACGAAGCAGAATAACTCAATAGAAAATACTGAAATATATAGATAGAAAGGGGAGGGGATCTTAGAGCTGTATGTTTTTTGACAAACCATATATGACTATCGTAATCTATAACGATCTCTATAATGCATGATTTGTAAACGGTTGTTAACTATCAAGTTAAAAGCTGGTTTAGAGCTTATTTCTTTTTTCATTTACTTATTCGTTCGTCGATGTTTTAATGTTCGATGTGTTTTTTTTCCTTCACGTTCCCCAGTGGAACATAGGACTTCAAGCTAGTGGCTTGAAGTTTCTGTAGCAGTGGTGATTATTTTTACAGGATGAGGTTGCTAGCCTCATGACCAACCTTTCCTCTTTACCAGCATTATTTCTGGCTTAGCGAGGTAAACGAGTGAGTCGGTGGCCGGGGATCGAACCCCGAACAATGTGCATGTGGGGGCGAGCGTCCTTACCGCTACGCCAACGATATGTATGTTACGGGATTGTAACTGTTAACTACTGAGATCTTAATGTCCCTTACAATTCAAATAATGGTTGCTTGTAAATGTTTATTAAATGTTTTTAAGTTTCTAGGTAAGTGATGTAACGCTAGCAATTTTACCCTGATATAGTCATGGCCGTATTAGTTTTCTCCTGGGTAACACAATGATTCTTTTATCCATCAGGAACTGATTGAGATTCTGGTGTCTGTCCTCATGGGAACAATGAGTTTGTTGAATTGGACTAAAATCATTAGACAAGATGATATTTGAGCCAAGTGTTTACTGAAAACTCAACTAACTAAAAGACTAATGTGTTAAAATAAATCTCAACTCTGATGAAATTTACAACTCACGCCTTCTTTATTGTTGATTTTCTCATTCTCTCTGGACACGTTTGTTCTAAGTTGTCCCCAGGGTAGTATTACTAGTGCCTAATTCTGTTAACTACACTGTTCTAGATAGCCGTTTTTATTAGAACTCCATCAGAAAATTTAAGCATATAACGTATATATGTCAAGTTTTGGGTGGTATTTTATCTCCTTTTAGTCCAGCTAACTTAAACATTCATTCAATTGCGCATCTAAGCTGGTTTTTATCCAAGGGGTTTTCTCATTCGATTAAAATCACTAAGCATCTGTAGGTTGGTAACTTAACATTAAAGGTAAGCTATGTTTAAGTTTATTTATTATTCAGGTGTTGAGAAAATGCACAGAGAGATCATGGTGGTTAACTTCTTGAAATTAACTAGATTATGATACTGCTGCATTATCAAATAAATTATATATAAATATATCTAATAAGCAAATCAGTGTGGAATTAAATTCTCTTACAGTGTTCAAGATTTACATATATATTTGAGAAATCTACAAGTTTTACTTGTGTAACGTAGATATTAGCTCATCGTATTCGTTTAATGAATTCAATTCCTCACAGAGAATTTCATAAGGAATACCTTCTGATAGTTTAGAAGGATTAGTTTTATGGTTGCAGAGTTCAACTACAGGGAAAACTGTAAAAATAATTCCACTAGGCCTAGTATCTTCCCAACAGATTGAATATCCATCATACAGTCATGTGCGTCGGTGGCACAGTGGTTAGGACTCTCGCCGACCATGCACATGGTCCGGGGTTCGAGTCCACGTCGACGCACACCTGATATCTATGGTCGGCCTGCGAAATTTGGGCTACCGATATACATGCTGAAAATTCCATACTTGTACCGAAAATACGGTGTGGAACCAAGCTGTAATCAAAAATAAAAAATAAAATAAATAAATATTCATTCGCTTTAAATTCATATTTCCTGTCAGTATGCAACTGCTCCTAACATTCAAAATAACTAAACTGATTAATTTGTTACAGGATTTCATCATCAGCTGACATTGGTTAGAGAACCATTGGAAAACCTGCAGGGAGTACTGGACAGCTGTTTCGTCCTAGTTTGGGACTCTTCATCAGTACACACCTACGGGGGTTCAAACTCAGTAGGGTGCAGCAGGTAGGGTGAGAGGACAAATACTCGCCGAAGACATTGGCTAGCGGTTGCGCTATATCGTGAATTGGCAGAGATGGGCCGTTGGATCGGGTCCCAGTGGCTTAATGGTCTACGAGCTCGCTAGCCTTGCAACCAGAAGGTCCTGGGTTCTAGCTCCGGTGAGTGCTAACTGCTGAAGAGTCCCAAACTAGGACGAAATAGCTGTCGAGTACTCCCTGCAGGTTTTCCATTGGTTGCCTAACTGATGTCAGCTCATGATGAAATCCTGTAACAAATCAACCAAATCCCTACAAACCAATACTCGAATAAATTGATTAAGTTATCACTGATTAGTTATCGACATTCTATATCATGAAGTCTATCTAATGTCAAACTTGGATATTATTATGACAGCTTAACTCTAACTATAAAAACTAGAAAAAAGAGGTCTGTTTCAAAGTAGTGTTTATTACAAAGCAACTTCAGTTAAAGATGCCATTTTAAGTCAGCTGAAAATACTAGATAGATGTTTCATGATACAGTTATTGAATTTTATCCTCAATGGCTTAATAGTAATATGCTTACCTAAAGACTAGATGGTCCGTTAGCTTCGTCCTTACCAACGTCTCGGTGGACATTTTCACCACTAAATAGCTTCAAACGGTTACTTAGTGTCTTTTTGGTTTTGAACGATTCCCTAGTTGATATTGTAGGGAAAACTGTTATTTACCCGGTCACATATCCACCAGCCAGATAACTGGATGGAATTATTGGGAAAAGAACTTAAATTTGATATTGACTAAGAAATTTGCGATTTGAAAAATCTCCCAGAATTCGAAATTGTATAGGAATATCAACATTTATTTGGAGACAGTCAGTGGAAATCTGCTACAGTCAGCATAAGAAACAAGAACCAGATCTTCAACACTGATTTCAAATCGGTGCTTCTGTATGGTTCAAAGACTTGGCGCGTCAACAAAAGCATCTCCAACAGGCTTTATCAATAGCTGCCTTCGTTGCGTCGACACCAAAGATTAAATGGCCGACCAGAAAGAATCAGTAACAACGAATTCTGGTAACGAACCAGTCAACAGAGAACCTATTTCCGAACAAATCTGCAGAAGCAAGTGGAAGTGGATTGGACATACATTGGAGAGACTGTTGACTGACATGGCGCGTAAGGTTAAACCCTTGAGTGGGAAGTGAAAAATTGGGTGCGGGTCAGAGGTTTACATGGAAGAGATCATGTGAGAAGATGAAAGTTTATGAGCATCCTTCAAGCCACCTAAAAAGAGAACAGAATGAATTGGAGATGTGCTGCCTGAAGCCCTTCCTATGCTCCTGTAGGAACCCAGTAGAATGATAAAAATCATTATTATTTATAAATAATGGTTAGTTATCATTCGATCTCTTGGAAATCCACGTTAACATTGCAAACGGGGTTGTATGTTAGCTTTTAAATGCTGATGTGCACATATTGAAATGATGAAAAGAATGGTGAATAAAGAAACATGCTCAAAATTTCCCATCATTTCCATTGTTTGCGCATTTTGTCTTTTTTTTTTTGACAAGTTCATTTGTGTAAGTGTGGAGGTTTTGAAAAAAAAACTGAATTATTATTGAGTTAATTAATAATTATCTATTGTATATAGCACTATAGTGTATGGATAGACCGAACGGGCATAGATACTTAAAAGAAATAATTTGATTGCTTAGGTGCATTTTTTTAACCCTAGGTAAATTATTTTTTGTTACTTTTTTCTCTTCTTACATCTGTCATCACAATCATATGTATATACCTGGGTAAAAATTTAACCTGGTAGATTCTCATGGAAAATTTAATATTGTTCATTTTACTAAAGTATGTTTAAAGTAAACTTAAAAGTCATTGAATTATGATGAACTAGATCTCAAAATATTAGACTAATAATACTTGTACGTATGATTCTCTTTGTGTTTTGAGATCTTATTATTCATGTTAATTATAAATTAACAATATTAATTAGTACTTACTGTCTATTTTAGTTGATGATAGACGGAAACTGACTAACATGTCAATTCCATATGTCTCTTAGAGAGATAACTGCTCTTACTCCATTATTTGTCTTGTTAGAAAGTTAAAGGTTATTGCCTTTTGATACTTCAGTTAACTAACTTAATAATAAAACTAATTATACAAAGTCTGTTACTAAGCAAGGGATATTCTTTTCGATAACGCCTTCTTCATCAGCTTCTACAGTAATGCATACATAATAGTGAATGAATTAGTGATAGTAACGACATAAATGCCGTTTAAATAACATCGAATTAATAATAATAATATCAATGGATTACAGTTGAATTGCATAATAACAATACATTAATTATCCGAAAAATTTAGTAAGGTAATAATACAAATTCATGAATTTACAGTCTCCACCGAAGGCTGGCCAGGGCAGTAGTAGTAGTGGCTGAACTTGCTCCTTATGCACACAGAGCACCAGTTGTTTAAGACGAATCGTGATAGCCTTTGCTGTTAAGAGTATGCAGTACCTGGATGTCTTTGGCAATTTTTATGGTACTCGGTAGATGATAGAGAAGGATACTTCAATACTGGTTTTTGTGTTCGGTTTCGACCTGGTGGTCTAATATCGAACTGTTGATGGTTTTATCTAGCCACATTGTTGATGCTATCGAACTGTAATCCACTAATATTATTACTATTGATTCGATGTTATTTAAACAACATTAACGTTGTTAATAACACTAATTCATTTACTGTTTATATATACACATAATTGTAGAACCTGATGATGAAGTTGTCGAAAAGTATACTCTTTGTTCAGTTACTATTCTTTCGGAAAAATATTTCATCAATTACTTCCTTTGTATTTTTGCTGTGATGATGT